CTAGACCAAGAGAGATTGATAACACATGTTCTCTTTCACATGTAAATCCTAGCTGTATGCTTAACAGAGTAAAGGTAGAAACCGGGAACAAAGCAGAGTCTGCAAGGGATGAGAAGAAAGAGCTTAGATGAAGGAACATTAGAACACATGAGGTATGAAGGGAGAAAGAGGAATCATGGAATGGGGATGACTAAGTGGGAGGGAATTGGGTTTGGGTAGAGGAGGGGCTATAGGAAGGGATAACCAACACTAAGGATGTTTTTAAAATCCACATGAAAACCTACTATTCTTTAAGCTTTGAAAAGAAAACTAAAAATGGAGCACCTACATGTGGGGACACAGCTTTTATATATCCATCTGAACACAGTATCTCTTGGGCTGGAGAAGCAGGTCAATGGTTGAACAGTGCATGAGGCCCTTGGTTCAATTCACACTACAGCTAAATAAAGAAAGCAAAACAAAGCATAACAAAATCCTCTTCTGGAACACGTACAGTCCATAAGTGAAGGCAACATTTAAACCTAGGCTGAGTTTTGTTTTTGTAGGTGAAACAACAATGGTGGAGGAATTGCAAGCCGTTGGTGGGAACGAGTAGCTCTATCCTCCTGTTATTTGGGGCAATTTAGTTGGCAAAGTATCATCACTTTGAGGTTTTCAATATTGAACCTTTAGAACTGATGAAAAGTGGATACTTCAAATAGTGGTTCAGGCATCTCACATTTCCCTCAACTAATGTTCCTTAAAATCTTTCACTCAAGTAATCATCGTTGCCCCAGTTCATGTGTCCATGGCAAATGTTACTAATTTATCAATTAATTAAGTAATTAATTGTTATTGCTAGAAAGAGTTCCAGAATTTTTATGACATGGCATTCCAGTTACCAACAGGCCAGCCTCTTCACTTCTGATGAGCGCTATTCGCCCTTGCTGGTGTAACTGGGAAAAGGACAGTACTAAATCAGAGTGTCCTGCTCCAGGAAAACTCCAAGAAGTGCCTAATTACACCCTTGCCATGTATCCTACCAACTTCTCAGTTTCGTTTACTACAGGCAGTGAGCATAACAACACCCTGCTGTGCCTATGTTATAGAATGTTTGTAAGGATAGGTGATTTATCACGGGAATATCCTACAAGGCACATAATGAGTCCCTTCACCCAAATCTTCTTCAGCTTCTCTCACTTCTTAGGCACTTCTTTTGCAGGAGGTGTGCTCACACAGCTGTTAGGAGGATGCAAGGGAAGAACATATGCAAAAATCCCTCAGAGTTTGGACTCAGTCAAGTGTCATTGCCATCCTCCTCTCTAAGCAGGTCTCTCGTCAGTGCTCATAAAGTAATGCTTGTGTCTTGCTCTGATCCCTTAGCATGAATGAGTGTGTTTTAGACACATTAACATGAAAATCAAGAAATAAAATCTCATGACAGTTTAGGGTTCCTCTGATGGTTATATATGAGACTGATTCCATTAATTCTAATCATCTACTCCAGAAAAGATGGATGGAGCCAGGAAGGGTATGCAGAGAAAGGCATGGGAAAATGAGTTCAGGGGTAAGTTCCAGGGCTAGATGTCAATGGCAATGGGACATCATGATGGTGTCCTTGTCATTATCATCAGACTAAGCAGTATGTGTGTACATACATACAACTATATCTATATCTATATATAAAATCAAACTTTATAATAGAAATAACAAGCATTTTAGCACATCTACCTGTCAAGCACTACATTAAATGTTTGGTCTAATAATGTTTAGTATAATAATCTTGTTTAGTTTTACTAGCAATACTAAGCAATTAGTATTTTTTCTTTACTAAGATAAATAAGATCTGGAACAACTAATGGGTAACATGAATGAAGTTAGGAAATGACCAAGATGGAGCTGAGTTTAGACATAACTAAATCTTGTTCATATGAGTAATAGTATAATCCAGGCAACAACTAATCAGTGCAGCAGGGTCTGAAGGACAGAAAAAGGAACACGGAGGAACATGGAGGAGTGGATAAAGGAAGACTTTAGGAGTCAAGATGTCAGTTAAAATATAGAATGCCAAGTGAAATTTGAATTTCAGTTGAGTAAAGAATGATAATTTAGAATAAATAAGTATGAAATATTATGCATAGGAAATTCAAATTCTTATTGTCTAGATTGTCTTATATGTCTAGAGACATAATTAAGAACAAAACAGGCAAAGAAAAACTGAAGGGAGTTTGGCTGGATAAAATGTGTATACAAGGAACATTTTTGGCTATGTGAAAATGGACAGAATCCATACTGCTTAATATCTTCATTTCACAGAAAAGGAGTGTAGATGTAACTGTCTTGTTAAATAAGAAAACAGAGCTCATGCAGAGATGAAAGCCCAAGAGGTTAGAGCTATGAGCTAAAAACCTTACCCTTCACTGCCGCTGCTGTCCTCCTCAGCAAGGGACCTACATCCTGTGTGTTTGTCCTTTTCATTGACTTTCTATTCTGCCTTCTCATTGGTTGTAAACCCAACCACATGACCTCCTCATCACTGCCCATTTATACAGATCTCCAGGTCTTCTATGGTTGGTATTGAGATTAAAGGTGTGTGTCTCCATGCTGGCTGTATCCTTGAACACACAGAGATCTGCCTAGCTCTGCCTCCCAAATGCTGGGATTAAAGGCGTGCACCACCACTGCTCAGCTTCTGCTATGGCTTACTATTAGCTCTGACCCCCAGGCAACTTTATTTATTAACATACAAATAAAATCACACTTCAGTACAAATAAAATATCACCATATGGGAGTGCTTACAGAAGATAAGGATTCTTCCTTTAAAAATGCCTTGCCAGTTTTGTAATTATGGAATATCTGGGTGTCTAACAGAAGTGAGACCATCGCTCCAGAAACAGCTTTATACACACTCCATTCCATGTTCCTGAAGCCAGTAGAAACCATACTAAAAATTCATGCCGCCTTCCATGCTAAAGTAGATAGCATAGCCTGCTGGGCAACTGGCATCGAAGCCCAAAGGACATAGTGTACACAGTGATGTGCTGGTAGCTGTTTAGAATAGTCAGCACTTACAGCACTTGCCAATTTCCAAGGCATAAATACCGCCATACAGGGTTGACTTCAAGCTAGAAGCGCACTGTCACTGAAAGCAGAGCTGGGAAAAAATACCTAATAGTCCAGCAAGCCATGGCACATATATAACACATATAAAAATCCCCCATGAGCATAGATAATGGCAAAATGTAATAAAATGATTAAGGTTATGAGTTTTGTGTATTTACTGCCTTTGTCTTAATATCATTTATTTAATTATAAAGGCATAAAATTTAATTTTTAATAATAAAAACACCTTGTGAAACTCCCAAAAATTTAATAACCAGTTCTTACTGTCTCAGCATGCCATTGGCAGGACTACTCATTGAATTGCTTTCTTGTGATTATAAAAATTGAAGATGGGAAATGTGGAGGTAAATGAGAAAGCAAGTTATAGATACATTTTATTATCAATGAGCAGCTCTACTCACACGGGTTATTTTTCTTATTTTGTAAGTGACCCAGAAAATTAATGCTTTGGCTTAACTTTTCTGTTTCCCTTCAGTCCATGGATGGAGAGGAGCTCTGCAGCTCCTGATGACTATGGTATGCAATGGAGTAATTTCCATTTTGAAAGCTAAACTCATCCACTCATTCTTCTATAAATGTGTCCAATAATTTCATGATATAAAAGAAAGTTAGTTATTTTGACACAATGCATTTCATAAGCACTATTACATCATGTTATATGTCCCCATGGACTCATATACCATTTTCTTCTGAGAATACCAAGAAGTTCACTTGAACAGTGAAGTTTATTTTTTAATTTCCCTTTATCTTCACCATCTGCCAATGTTAGGTGCTTGGAGAGTAACTGGTTCTCAATTTATGTTTATGTGCCCTTATTAGAAGAGTAATATGGTGGATTTTTAACTCACTTATATAGTTCATTTTCTTTTCTTGTTCTAGCTTTAATTGATCTTAGATGTAATAAGACTATATATATATATTAATATTAATATATATTAAATAGCTTTGCTACTGCTTCTCCAGTATCTCTAGTTATTCAGAAACAAGAACAGAGTATCAAAATTAGCAAATGTATGTTTTTGAAGTTTCATTTAGTGACCCCCTTGTGTCTATATTATGCTATAATATATAGGATGCAGAAACTGTATGTTTCTCTATATCACATTCTCACAGAAGGACGCAACTGCCAGGACCCCATCTATAAGGTCATCATTCATAGAATAAGCACAAATGCGATCAGTCAAGTCTTTCCAATAGAGCAATAGCCAGTGTGACCTCAACAGACTTTGGCTTTTGGAGCCAGATCGCTTTAGTGACAGACATAACCCTGGTGGGTCGGCAGCATCCTTCACTGCTCCCTCTGCCATCTGCCACTGTGGAAACGTCGTCATTAAAGCAGAGTTGTTTCTGGACAAATTTGCAAATGGTTTTGAGAGCATTATTATTGCACAGAATGTTACCATCTGTAAGTAGGAAAATCTGAATCACAATGCATGTCTACCTTACTCTCCTTCTCTATGTATATCTTAATAGAAAATGTGCATGCATTAGTCTAAAAGGTAGGAACATTTCCTCTGGTATTACAGAATTCTAACTTTCCAAGAGGCCTTCAGTGTGTAATCTCTACCTTTAAATACGGCCACATTTAGACCATCACATTAAAAAGTTTCATTTTATTTCACATTTACTGTCCTTATTCACAAAGTATTTTTAGCTACTTGACATTCATTAATATATTTCATTATTTATCTTTGTCATGATACATATATCCTTTAAAAAATCAGTAATAGGGTATCACCTGTCCTCTGGCAACTTTTAACACCATGGAATATTTAGACAGATTATAAAAATGGTATAATGACAACGTGAAATCAGAATTTTCATAAACCAGACCTTATATGTATATAAATTCTACTTGCATTATCAATATATTATTATAATTGCTTCTATTTAGGTATCCAAAGCACAGAGACGTTAACTGATTGCTCCAAATTACACAGCTTGGAAAGCAGTCCTACTCCCAATTTGCCATAGGAAGACTAGGATTACAGTCACACACTGAAGATTTGAACTTGGGACTACAGCTTATGTGGTGAGTGCTTTATCCATCGAGCCACATCTCTACACCCATATTTCTCTTTTATATTAGGGAATCTTTGGATGTGAATGTTGATGGAATATGGTTAGCTCCAAAATATCTGGGTCATTAAAGCCTCCTGCTCATTAGCAACATGCCAAATAAGTAATGGCAGAATTTGACAAAGGGAAATTTCAAAATGAATAACTAACTAACACACCTTTCTCATTATCTTATAATGAAACTGTATAGCTTGGCCTTAATGTTTATGTCCACTAGATAATAGAGTGCTTCCAGTAGAAATTTCTGTAACTTGGGCTTGTTAAATGCACAAACATAAAGGTGTGATGGTTGCTAAGGGATCATTTTATGCAAATTAGAAATCAGCCTATTTAGGCATTGGTCATGACCTTCCCTATCAAAACCTCAGCTACACTAGTATTAAAGGAAAGTTCAGAACATTTTAGCAGGTAGAACATTGCTGAAATAATTGCTTTTCACAAAGTAAGCAGTGGTTCTGGGAGATTAAGTTAATATCTCGGGGCAGGAACTTGGTGGATCAGACTAATATGCAGCATTTAAGGAACAAGGCTGACAGCATTATGAAGGGTGAATTGCAAGGTATTATCAGGCAGGTGATGTCTTAATTACCTGTACAACTAATGTAGAAAGAATAATGATGTAAATTTGAGGAGTGTTTCAGAAGAAAATTCACCAAGTTCCATCTTGGAGTGAATTGGATGGGGGAAGGCTGGGAAGATTGACGTTAAAAAGTAATTCAGAATGGAGTCCCAGCTGAATAGTTTGGACTATTGCTTATGCAATAGGTTTTAAATGACAGAAAAGTTAAAAGGGAAACTTTGGCCATTAAGAAAATCAAGGGGGAGCAAATGGAGATGTTCAACAGGGTCAGAAATCAATAGGAGGAATGTGCCAAAGGGCCCCAGTGGGAGCTCCAAAACAACCCAAGCTATTGCCAAGGCTATTGATTATTCTCTACAAACAGATGGTAAGGCCCCATTGCTGAAGACAAGCTCTATGTAACTCATAGAACAGATTATGCTGGCGCCTACCTAAAGACTTCATCCCTACTGACTAGTGTGCAGCATACTGTAAGATACTCTGCATGCTACCAAAGAAAGGTAAACATTAACCCAGCTACAATCCCTTTGGTTGACTATGGCGACCTGCCTCCAATATGCACTACTGCAATAGTGGCACAAGCCTGTGAGAGGAACCAGCCAGTATCTGATTGGATTTAAAGTCCACTCCATGAGATGGAACCCATCCCAGCTCTGGTGACCAAGAGCCTGAGACTAGATAAACCAGATACCTAGAGGAAAATAAAATATTACTGTTCTGCTATAGCAACAAAATGACTCCTAAAAGCATTCTGCTGCACTCATAGATCAGTGTCTTGCTCAGCCGTCATCAGAGAAGCTTCTTCCTACAGCAGATAGAAACAAATACAGAGGCATAAAGCCAGACAATATGCAGAGAATGGGAGACCTTGAAACACTCAGTCCTAAATGGCTTGTGTCAATCAGTTCTTCCCCTCGTGACTCAGTGAACCCTGCAGAAGAGGAGGTGAAAATATTGTAAGAGCCAAAGAGAATGGAGGACACCAAGGAAACAACTCTTTTTTTTTTTTAAAGGTTTATTTATTTATTATGTATACAGTATTCTGCCTACACACCAGAAAAGGGCACCAGATCAAATTACAGATGGTTGTGAGCCACAATGTGGTTGCTGAGAATTGAACTCAGGACCTCGGGAAGAGCGGCCTGTGCTCTTAACCTCTGAGCCATCTCTCCAGACTGGAAACACCTCTTTTTAAACACAATAGGACCAATGCACATATGAACTCAGAGACTGTTGCACAGGGCCTGCCCAGGTCTGGGCTTGAGCGTGGAAATAGACACAAGCCCACACCCCTAACCCACAAGCACAATCATGTAGTGCATTTCCTTGTTTTTGTATTCTTTTTTTTTTTTTTTTTTTTTTTTTTTTTTTTTTTTTGGTTTTTCAAGACAGGGTTTCTCTGTAGCTTTGCACCTTTCCTGGAACTCACTTGGTAGCCCAGGCTGGCCTCGAACTCACAGAGATCCGCCAACCTCTGCCTCCCGAGTGCTGGGATTAAAGGCGTGCGCCACCACCACCCGGCGTGTTTTCTGATTGTTACAGTCCTTCTCCCCTCTTTTCTATGGTGTTCCCTGAGTCTTGTACGTAGGCGTTGTATGGTATTTGCCAACTGGGGCTGGGCACCCCGTGGTCAGTCATTTGTTCTGTGAATTTTCTTCGCTAGCTGTGACTTTATGCAATGGTCTCCTTCTGCTGCAAAAAGAAGCTTCTTTGATGAGTGGTTATCTGTAGGCATAAGAGTAAGTATTTAGAATGTAGTTAGGAGCTACGCTTGTTTTAGAAAGTGACAGTAGGTAGTTCTCTTCTAAGATTGATGAACTCACTAGCCACGTGCAATTGACTGGGTTTACAGTAGTGGGTCTTGAATCCAGTGTGAAAGAACTTGGTTACCACCAAAATATAAGAGCTACTATTGCACATTTAGGGGTATCCTGCGGTGCTGGTAATTGTTACGTTTCATAGGCATCACAGACGGGTTTCATGATTGCTTTCATTCCCTGGCAGCTTGCATATCACCTTCCAGGCCTATGAAAGGTAGATCTCAGGTAAGAGGCTTTTGTGTCAGTGGGCTTTTAAAATCATATTTACTAATTTACAGTTTATGTGAATGTATGTGAACCTGCATTTGTTTATGTGCACCACATGCATGCTAGCACCCACAAGGGCCAGAAGATATGGGCTCCTCTGGAACTGGAGCCACCGCAGTTGTGAATCACCTGATGTCGGTGCTGAAAATCAAACTCGGGTCCTCTGCAAAGCAGGAAGTTCTTTTAATCACTGAGCCATCTCTTCTGCCCAAGGCCGTGTTTTTTGTAAGATTTTTGAAAACAGCACATCATTCTCCCTGAGTGAACAGTAGAGAAATGGTGAATATGAATGATGATGGGTGCTGAGGTCTGGTTACTCAAATGAAGAAAGGCTTAACAAAAGCCCCACTTCATACAATAAAAGCTACTGAGAGTATGTAAGACATCTAAGTTCTAAACTTAGTTTATCTTTCTCTTCTCATTGCTCTTCCCTCCATAAAATTTTTCTTACCCATAAAATACCCTTGGATGATCAAGAGCATAGAAAAATTTTCAGTCACATACTAGGCATGTATTGTTCCACACGTGAAAGAGACCTTCTTCCACAAAAATCTCCAATCCTCCATCCCCATGGAGTAAACTTCTATCAGTCAGAGAAGATATATCTACTCTATTATTTTATCCCATGCCCAATACCATCAAATTATTTGATGTTGCACACATCATGCTGTTTCACTAGACTATAAGTGTTTAAAAGCTTGGCTTGTTTTGTTGCATGAATATAACACTTATGTAAATTTCACTGTGTTGTTCCATATTAGCTAATTAAAAATATGCACCACTTATTCTTGTTGACCATGGTGTTAATGAAAAATTGTGGTTCTTGTCAGCTCAGAGCTAACATCTAGTAGAAAATACAACTGATCAATGAGACTTAGATACCATAGTTTTGATGAGTTTAACTGTCATGATGATTGTGGTGGTGATATTAGGTAATGTTTATTGAGTACTTTAAATGCTATATATGATATGTTGTTTATCTATGTGTTTTATCTATGTTTTTTTTAATTGAGGGTGAATGAATGCTTCCCTAAAAAGTGCTTGTGTTACTGAAAGGAAAGCATTTCTCACAGGAAATGAAGGTGAATTGATACATGTATGTGGTGGATGCAAGGTTTTGCCCTGTACAACTAGACTGTGCACATCATAGAGCATAATTCTGGAAACAATATCAAGAGCTAAAACCAGATGAGAATCATCATCCTCCTATGATAGATAGGGACCCTTAATCCAAGTTCAAGGTTACCAGTCCCCAGTGCCATAAAGAGTCATTAGCAATTGCCTGATTCCAGGAAGACCAGGTCCTTTGAGTGACACCATGATGTGGCCTATGCAGACCATTAAGGCATTCCATCCAGCAGCAAATATACACAGAGAATCATCATATTTCAGGATTCCTAAACACAAGCAGTTCACATTCTTCCTTTGACTTCTATTTTAAAAGAAAATTAAAAATATGGAATACAATAGTATATCCCCATACTTAATTTCTACACAGTTCTGATCGATAAATTATGTCTTTCATTTTCTTCTGAACACATTAGGTCTGGCCCGAAAATGTGTCATGACTATTTCTCTCAGGTCACATCCCTGCTGTAATCAAGATGGACATTCTTATTTTGGGTGGTTTGGTTACATTGGTGAGGATTTGGGAAGCACATAGTACTCCATCCCAGATCTAGTTAACTTGTTGTCAGGTGTCACCTGTAACCCATTACATAGCATCTCTCCCTTAGCATGTCATAGCATTCTGTTCTAGGGGGATTATGGGAACTGTGCATGAAAACTGAAGTACATGGAATTTGGGTTGGGGAACACTCTGAAAATGTGACTTCTGAGATAGACCTTTAAGCATAAATATTGGTGAAATTATTATGGCCACTCCATGTAGTTAAAAGGAAGATTTATTTAGTGGGTAACTTACAAAAAAGGGAAGGGTAGGTTGTGGGGTCTGGGGAAGGTGTATCAAAATCCAGTGGTGTTCTCTGGAGCTCTGCTCGGTCCACCTCCAAAAAAATAGGGGAAGTGCTGTGGGATGGTCTGTATGTCAAATCTGTTGCTCTGATTGGTCAATAAATAAAACACTGATTGGCCAGTGGCTAGGCAGGAAGTATAGGCGGGACTAACAGAGAAGAAAAAAGAAAGAACAGGAAGGCAGAAGGAATCACTTCCAGCCACCACCATGACAAGCTGCATGTGAAG